ACTGAGATGCACCGCATGGGCTTCGCTAGCACCCACATCGGCTTGGCAGCGGTACCGGCGTCCATGGCACAGTCGGTGACGTCGTGGTGGGCGGGGTGGATAGCTGGCGAGGTGAAGCACAGGGAGAAGGTGCTGTTAGGACTGGGTTGGAATAACATGTGGTTTGGACCTGAGAGAATGCGCTCGAAGCTTCAGTTTGGACTTGAATGAGCTTGGACGGACACGAGTGAACAGGAAGTGCTTGGACGGTGCACCGCAACAGGAACTCCCTTCGCTTATGCGACACTGCTTTTACTGATTGCGCTGGGGTTTGGGATGCTTCCTCCAGCTGGAATCATGGTGCTGACGCTGGCGCTGAGTAGTGCAGCAAATGGGATGTTGGATGCGCCCTCCATCTCGATGATGGCAGATCTGGCGGCTGGGACGTCCATATTTCTTCCATGTAATCTACCAGCAACATGTCCACACTAGGTGTGCAGGAAAAGAGATAGAGCAACATTGTTGATCCAAACTAGCATTCTGGTGGCTTTGCAGCCTTTTCAGCCGTTGTTCGTTCCCGCAAAAACAAAGCCTGCACAGTGGTCCAGCATCACCCCACATCAATCATCAACCCCCTCCTTAGGCCCGAGCCCGAAACTTGGGTTACGGTCAAGCGGTAACCGCCTCAGAGATGGCTGTGGCTCTGGGACTCGCGCTGGGGCCCTCCGTAGCCACTGCTGCCCGGACGCATCAAAGAACGTTCGGTGGTTTCTTGTTCGGCTTAGGGGTTGTAGGAGGGAGAGGTCTAAATATTATGGCAACAGGCAGGCACGCCAAAAAACATGAGTGTTGATTTTTGGGTCTTCGTGATGTTGAATTCATAGATGAAAGAGGAACAGTTTGTCTCGAATGACCATGTAGGTGGATGGAAGGAAGGCTGGCTGGATGGATGAGAGCACATATCCTAGGGGCGCCTTTCTTTTTTGTCTTTTCAGGGCCTGACAACAGTGGCGAGATTGAGAGATGGAGAGCACTAGCGTTCGTCTCCTCCGTTCTCAGGTTGTGAGAATATATTGTTTAAGAGACCTGTATTTTAACAGACCTGTATTCTTGGTGGTGGTGTGGAAGCGTTAAGAAACAGAGGGGGTACGAACATGGCTTTCCACCCCAAGGAAACTCTTTCTCATCCATGGCTCAGGTGGTGATGCACCGTGGAAGTTATGGTTGCCTTTCTTTGCTCTCAGCTTCTGTGGCCCTGCTGGTAGGCTTGGCAGCAACCGCCAACCTGCGCCACGTGCTACGATTGGAAGAGCCGACTTAAGACCAAAATGTGGAAGGAACTCTTCTATGTTGAGCAGTTCCTGACTTCAACTCTCAGTGCTTGAAAGGGATTATATTATAATATATTATATATATAGTTGCCAAGCGTTGTGATCATTCTGTGACAAGACATACTACACGATGACCTTGGTTTCCGTTCCATGGACTCAAGTAGAGCTGAGGACCTTGGACCTTGGTCTCCTGTCTCCAACTCAACGGTTTTATCAACGGATCAACGGATCAACGGTATGTTCTTTGAGGATGTGATAGAGACATAAAGGGGTTGAACATGTTTGAACCTTGTTGCCACCTCCAGCTTCTATTTATATAATTTAAACAAGCGATCCCTGGCCTAGCTTCGATACATCAAGACAGCTGAGAAGAACAACTCGGTATACAGAACTAAACGAGTTGAAACTTTCACTCATTAAAACCCCGAGAGAAACGATAGGACTTGTTCACAATTGTTTTTCATCAGCACATATGCAGTTATTTGCATGAGCAAACCGGATTTGGACATCGGTTGCGTGGAGAATATCCAGGCTCGCAGGTATGGTGAGTTGGAAGCATTCCAAGGGTTGACACACAACCGAGAGTTCGAACACAGCGTATCCGGCATGTGTGAAGATGCCATGTCCTTTATCCTATGCGTCGAAACGAGTGGCCCATGTGTCTCTATGCGTCGGTGGCCCACGCAATCCTCTGTATCCATGCAACAGACATGGAATCTTATGGATCATTTGGAATCGTGCCGGGAACGCAAGATTCAAGGGTGGTCAATTGTCAAACTTGTCGGATGGAACAAAGAAATGGATTCCTACACGGTCATTGACCATTGACACGACATGAAGAAAAAGGACATGGACTTTGACTCGTTGACCTTTTTTTGCGGGAAGAAACAACCGTGACTGGACTTGCGGGACCAGTCGTATCACTTCCATTCTCAAAGTTGGTTCTCTTTGGCTTCGTTGCGCCATGCCTTGGCGGCCTTGACGGCACCGATGTTGGGATGCTCAGTTGACACGATATCGTTTTGAGATGTTTTGCAATGTGGGCACGGGGGAGTTCTGAAGCATTCTGAAGCTGCATGCATCATGCGAGAAAGCCGTCCAGGTCGGGCAAGTTGAAAGGCATCTATGATGCCCTCGATCATGGACAATATAAGAATGCCAGCGGCCTCAGCCTACTGTTGACATTTGTTGACATTTGAATCAACTCATGGACTTCATTTTTGTTGCCTGGATTCTTGAAAGGATTTGAAGTCTCACCCGCGGTTGCTTTTGCCACCAGCCCTCAAGTTGCCCTGCCACCAGCTGCAGCATTCCTTAACACTCGCTCGTTTCCAGCCATGCGTGAGCTCGTGCACGTCCAGGGAGGCAGGTATTTGAGGGGATACTTCGTTTCTTGTTGATGATGCACCAATCGTGCTGGTGCAGGTTCGGTTGGTTGTGTTTTTGCTTTGTGCGGTCGTTTGTGGGGTGTTGTGTTGTTGTGGCAGATGGGATGGTTGCTGACGGTTGTGCTGGTTGGTGGTTTGTGAGTGAAGTGGTCGCTTTTGTCATGCGTGCTTGGACATTGCAACTAACTTGGATTCAAGCTGTTGTAATAAGTACCGCACAGGCTTACTTGTTGATCTGAGAAGAACCACCAGGTTCAGCGCCATTCTATTCTGTATCGATCGTCAGGCCAGTGCGGCAACCAGATCGGTGCTAAGTTCTGGGAGGTCATTGCTGATGAGCACGGCATCGATCCAACAGGAAACTTGGCGAGTAGAAGGAACCACATTGGACACAAAAGAGTCAGGTTCATTCCCCGCCATCGGTTTCAAGTGACAGGTTGACATAGGTTGACAATCGATCTAAAAGGGGAGGTGGAACGCATGAGGAGTGACAGCATAGAGGTTGACCATCTCCGGGCCGACTCAGGAACTTACCATGGAGACTCCGACCTGCAGCTTGATCCTTGGATTATTTGGCAGCAGTGCCCCGTGCATGTGACGTGACCATTCAAGCATCCTGGAAAACATCCGAATCCCATTTACTGTATATATATATATATTATACGTATGTGCTCATTTTTCCCTACGCTATGTGGAGGACAAGTCGGACACGTGAGTACCTATGTAGGTTAAAAATCTAACTTGCCGGGGTTCTTCTGGCCTCAGTCGACAAAGGAAAGGATCAACGTTTACTTCAACGAAGCCACGGGCGGACGCTACGTGCCGCGGGCAGTTCTGATGGACCTTGAGCCTGGAATCTTTGCAGCAAAATCTATGTTTATGGACATTTTTGTATACACATAAGTATTTTATATAAAAAACAATATTATATATATATATATATCATTTATGTGTGACACATGTTGATTTCGTTAGAGTCTCTTCGGTGGCGGTGGTCATCTCTGGTTTGGGGATGCAAGGTCAGGAACTTGGTGTAAAACATGTGAGGGATTGGTTTCGGCATGTTTTGATGAGTCGTTGAACAATATTGCAAACTCTGTGAGAGAAATAGGAGGAATATGAAGGCAGAGCTTTAGCACCCAGCGTGTCATTGAGTGGACCTTCACGGAGGAGGCCAGAACAGAAAAGGAATCCCAGCTTGCCACAAACCGGGGGGTAGGAAGCTACTAGTAACAAGTGCCTTACTAGTAGTAACAAGAAGCTATTAATTAGAATACAGCACCTTCAGGAAGCCCACAGAAGGGAACACGTGAGCCAGACGGCCAAAAAGGGTCCGCCATGAAGGGTCGGCCAAAAAGGCACCAGCGTGAGTTCCGGTGATTTTCAAACAACGGCCCAGCTGAACGACTGCTAAGTCCACGGATACTTTTTGATTTGTTCAATTTCTTTCCCCAAAACATTTTTCTGGGGTTCTCTCTGAGCTTCTCAGCCTTGACGGCTTGGCCACGCTGTGTCCAGGGCTTGTCCAAACCTTGTCCGGTCTGTGTGTCCTTGGCTGCTCCGGGCCGGGCAAATCTTTCTTCTCCGCCTTGTGAAGGCTTTGTTTTTCTCCACCGCCTTGTCTGGGTATGGTTTCATGTGGCTATGAATACAACGTGATGTAGCGTTTCAAATTTGATATCATCCTTGGATTTTCTCGTGACATATATATATATATCCCTTAGTTTTTGCACATGTGACCCGGGAATCAGGTTTCAAGCATATGTTGTTTACATGCCCAGAAGAATCCAAAAGATGACGCTGACACTGTTTGGGGTCTATGCTTGCATTGTTTTTTATCAGTCTGTAAAATGAGACCTGTAATTTGTTGGCTTCAATCTTCACGATCAATCTGTATAGACATGATGGTTTCTATTTTTCCGGTTTTATGATTGTATGGAAAGATGTCAGAACACCATCGGAGGTTTCGGTTCATTGGGTTTAAGCTTTCGTGTCCGCCCAGGAACCATGGACAGCGTTCGTGCTGGGCCATTCGGACAACTTTTTCGTCCAGACAACTTTGTCTTCGGCCAGACGGGCGCGGGCAACAACTGGGTGGCTTGAATGTGTTGCCGCTGTGGAATCCTTTCGATTTTTGATTGGCATGCTGGGACTTGCCAGGAAACATTCAAACTGGAAAACTTCGCACAACAGTAAAGACAACCGACCAGAACCCCCTAGAAAATGTTGAATCGCGTGACTCTCTGTCTCGTCAAACGAGAAGCCGCCTGCCAATGGAGAGTCGATCTTTGTGAGAGTTGAGGCAAAGGGACACTATACGGAGGGAGCCGAACTGATTGATTCAGTTTTGGACGTGGTGCGAAAGGAAGCAGAAGGTGGCAGCCTAAGTTATGTGGAATTTGTAGCGATCAAAGCATGGTAATGATGCTTTAAAGATCTTTTGTCTGAAGTTGTTAAGCTGTTAGCCGCTAACATCGGCAAACATTCACGAGGCGTAGCCTCTAAAGATGCAACCTTCCCTTAAAGAGATCGAAAGAAAACACCAGTGATTTCAAGCAGTAGTGCGTCACGACCTTGTCCTTGTGGTCATCCTTCCTCTTGACCACAACGCGCAACTGACTTTGTTCTGACTGACCAACCTTCCTGTTCAGGCTGCGATTGCTTGCAGGGCTTCCAGCTTTGCCACTCGCTGGGTGGTGGAACTGGCGCAGGCATGGGAACGCTATTGATCTCCAAGGTCCGAGAGGAGTACCCAGATCGTGCCTTGCCCGATTTGTTGAATCAAACTCAACAAGGGACCTAAAGGGACCACTGTGGGATGCCTTGAGGCAAAAAACAGGCCTTGCCTTGCCATGCCTAAAGCTATACTACTACAAATGACATCAAATTACGCAAAACTAATTGTTAATTGTTATTTATTGATCGTTCTTCCTCAGCTTGTTCGGGCAATGGGGGAGGAGGGTAGCAAATGCATACAGACAGCTCTGTGATGTGCTGCACTGTGTAACAGGGCCAGCAAAGAGATACGCACAAAGAGAATCAACGAGACGTGCCTACTTACCCTGCAAGTCTCAATTACCGCTGCAAAACATGTTGGACAGAGAGGGATTGCCCAAGAATCCACCACCGCCACTTTGTGAGTAAAGCCTAGTTCGCTGCGTTAAGGCATTATGGAGACCTTCTCCGTGATCCCATCACCAAAGGTGTCAGACACGGTCGTGGAGCCTTACAATGCGTCTTGGAATCCTGATTTTTTGAGTACAGTACGGGCTTTCCCTTTCAAAACACAGACGGTTACATTCCTTAGCCACCCTTAGTCTTGAATTTAGTGTCTTGTTAAACTCTTTACATTTTTGCATTAATCTTGCAACCACAGGCAGTCCTCAGCTTCCATCAGCTAGTGGAGAACTCAGATGAGTCCTTCCTGCTGGACAACGAGGCATTGTACGACATATGCTTCCGCACGTTGAAGCTGACCACACCAACCTATGGTGACCTGAACCACTTGGTGTCTGCAGCCATGAGCGGTGTGACTTGCTGCTTGCGCTTCCCCGGACAGCTGAACTGCGACTTGCGCAAGATCGCGGTGAACCTGGTGCCCTTCCCTCGTTTGCACTTCTTCATGACTGGCTTTGCACCTCTGACTTCTCGCGGCTCCCAGCAGTATCGTGCTCTCACGGTACCTGAGCTGACGCAGCAGATGTTTGATGCCAAGAACATGATGTGCGCAGCAGACCCTCGTCACGGCCGATACTTGACAGCCGCGGCCCTCTTCCGTGGCCGTATGTCAGCTAAAGAGGCGAATTCCCAAAAGTTGTAGTTGAAAGTTGTTTGAGAGAGTTCTCACCTGCTCAGTCAGCAAACTAGCCAACGAGGAACATCGATGAGCAGAGAATACATATAGTTTTTTTAACACATATCCCAGCTGTGATTTTGGAGCAAGCCGTCGTTCGCTCCTGACCTCCGCGTGGTGCCCACGTCACGGGCCCGCTCAGAGCGGGGGGCAACGCGCCAACAGCACAGGGTGAATTCTTGGCATTCGCATTGGCGAGGGCCACCCCGGCCCTGCCGGCTCCCGGAGAACACGACGACAGCGACACCAACACCATTCACGGCAGCAGGCCAAAGGCACTACACAAGCACCGGGCGAAGTTGACGGCAAAGCCCTCTTGCATAGCCAGCAAAAAAAAAATCTATATAGCAACAGTAACATAGCTAAGCCTTTTAGAGCTAGTTGAGGGCTTTATAAATACTTATAGACTTTCTAATGATACTTAATAACTTTGTAAGTATTTTGAACGAGTTTTGAAAGTTGAGCTTAGAGAACTTATAAGTAACTTAGGGAAGTAACTTTTTGTTTGTTCAAAACAATTTGTTTGTTTAAATGTTGTTTCCAGATGTTTTTTGCAGGCCAATGGTTCTCTTGACAGCAAGAGCTGTGACCAGAATTTCCAAGAAAAGAGATGTTTCAGAAAGACCGCAGGCAGATGTTGTCACCGATGGCGGCTCTTTGAGTTTATGGGTTGAACAATTTGGTTCATGGGTTTGTACGGGCCGGAGACGAGTTTCAACATGGGGACGTGGATGACGTTGACTTGAAGGAGAAGCCAAAGAGCAAGACCAAGGTTGACGAGCTCCAGTGCAACAAGCCCAAAAAGAGCAAGAAGGGAAAGAAGAACAAGTAGTGGGTGCGTTTTCCAAAGGTTTTTGAACACAGCAGGAGCTCAGGTGAAAGAAAATGAGTGATAGTTTTTGGTGACAATATGACATGTAGCTCAATGTAGCAAAATGTATAGGAATGTATGACTCTGAAATGTGCAGAGTCATTACATGTATAACTCTGAAAAATTTGGAGCTATACACGTATAACTCTGATTTTTTTTTCGGAGTTATACATGTATAAGTCTGATTGTTTTGGAGTTATACATGTAGAACTCTGATATTTTTCGGAGTTATACACTCTTATACATTACGCTACATTGAGCTACATTCACAAATTCCTGATTGTGGGTTGGCAATGTTTCACTTTCTTGGCCAACAAATGTTGACCAGCTACAGGATTGCCATAGTTTGTGCGTGTATGAGTTTAACAAAACCTAAAAGGAAAAGCATTCTCCTGGGATGCGGCCCATTGGGCCGCACAGGATTCAATATGGCATTCAGTCTTGCTTAATGGGCCGCTTGAATTTGTTAAATATCGCAGAACCACTTTCACACCCTGTGAGCTTTAGAGCTTTTATGGCAGCTCCCACCATCGAGATCCACAAAGAAGCACCAAGCCCTTGTTTGACAAGATGTTTTACACGCAAATGAATCATTATTTTGTATACTTATCAGAAAAATTGAAAAATGTAGTGTCTGGAAAAGTTTCGAGAACTTTTAGAAGTTATATAAGTTTCATAAAGTAAACTTAGCTAAGTTATGAACTAAGTTAAAAACTACTGGCTTTGTAACTTCTGTAACTTATTTTCTAAGTCTCTATATGTTCTTTTTTAAAATACCATAATTTACTTATAAGTTCCATACTGACATCTAATGATGGTGTTTTATGTTGTTTTTCATGTCGCCAATACTTTTGCTCTTGCAATTTTTCACAAATGGCTCCAGCCGCCAATTCATCAACATCGTTTTCTTTGGGGGTGCTGATGGGGAGAGGGATCAAACACAACACAAATAGGGATCAATAACAAAACAAATAGGGATCAACTAAAAAACAAACAGACATCAAGAAACAATACTTGGAAGAGACAAGCAAGAAAGAAAGAAAGAAAGAGAAAGAAAGAGAGAGAAAGAAAGACAGCAAGACAGAAAGAAACAAAGAGAAAGAAATAGAGAGAAAGAAAGAAAGACAGAAAGAAAGACAGAAAGAAATAAAGAAAGACAGATAAATAAAGATAAAGAAAGATAAAGAACGAGAAAGAGAGAGAAAGAGAAAGAAAGATAAAGAAAGAGAAAGAAAGAGAAAGAAAGAGAAAGAAAAAGGAAAGAAAGACAGAAAGAAAGAAAGAACGAAAGAAAGAAAGGAAGAAAGAACGAACCACCACTACTGCCACTACCAATACCACTACTACGACCACCACTTCTACTACCACTACCACCACCACCGCCACCACCACCACCACGACTACTACTCCTACTCCTACTCCTACTCCTACTGCTACTGCTACTGCTACTACTCCTACTACTACTACTACTACTACTCCTACTCCCACTCCTACTCCTACTCCTACTACTACTACTACGACTACTACTACTACTACTACTACGACTACTACGACTTCTACGATCAGTACTACTACTACTACCACCACCACCACTTCTTCCACTACCAGCACCACTACTACTACCACTACTACCACTCTACTACTACTCCCCCTCTACTACTTACTACTGCCAACCTCTACCAGTTTCGGAGCCCCACGCATGTGAGTGACCGAGCTCGCAACTACAGCCCCGTGGAAGCTTCTGCACTATAACTACCATGACCACCACCACCACTACTACTACTCCTGCTGCTGCCCCTGCTACTGCAACAGCTGCTACTACTGCTGCTAGCTGTTCCAAGTGCTGTTTCTACTTCTGCTTCTTCTTATGCTTCTACTCCCGCTGCAGCTGCTCCTGCTCCTGCTACTACTACTAAACTACTACTTCTACTACTACTACTACCACCACTACTGCCACTGCTGTTGCTGCTACTACTACTGCTACTACTACTACTACTACTACTACTACTACTACTACTACTACTACT